CTTAGAACTGTATGGATTAGATGTAAATACAAATGAGAACAAAGGATAGCTTTGAGTGTTTGTTTTGGGAAGGAAAATTACCTCGATACAGAAAAGGAAAACGTTTTGTTAAAACGAACTCGCGAAACCATAGCCAAAATATCGTTTGGAACATTATTTGATGATGGGTGTTAGCTTGAAGGAAACGTAAAAGCACCTTAATCATTTTGTGTACAATTTTTGATAGGACAACCCAACCAGGAAAATATTGCTCGTGTTGATGCCGGTCCTGAAAGTCTCTACTTTGTTGTATATGTACAGTAAAAGCTCTTTATTCGCGAGGTATACGTTCCATAAATATGCCGGGAATACAGAAACCGTGGATATTGAATGGTAATTAGTGTGGAATCATAAGGGATACGTTCTAAGGTTTCAAAATAAAACCAATATGTATCGCAATAAAATCAATTTATTGAGAGATTCGCAATTCAATTAATGATTATAATTAGCTTTGGATAAGGGTTTAAAAAATTTAGTGATTTTTTCTTGTTTTGAATTTTTAATTAGTCCACTTGGTTACATCTTTTATAAAAGTCGTTTCGGCACGTACCAACAGTACATACTCAAAAGATGCCGATACATTAAGGGGATTTAGTAGTACGTGCGCCGTAGAGTAAAAACATGCCTATCGGTTCTAGATATCATGAGTTTAATGTTTGGAAAAGAGGTTTAAAATTTTATAGTAAGATAGATAAAGCTTTGTTCTAAAGCCTGTCAAAGGCCATTTTTAATTTTTTTTGTTTCTATTGAAAATAAGTGCCCTACAAGAAGCATCAATTTCAAGCACTTGTAAAAGCTTTTAATGATCATATTACTGAAAACCAAAAACGTACCGAGTTAGTGTGAACCTTTGTTCGTTACCATATAATAAATTACATATTTTTCTCGCAGCGTTAAATTACAATGTTTAGAATAGAAACCCATGTTTTCTGAAAAATTCACACTAGGTTCGAGCGGTCTATTGCGGTCAATCCCCTTAATAAATGACACCGAATCCTTTTCTGTTTACCGATTGCATCGGCGAATAATGAAATTTTTAGCCGCTAATACAGGAACTGGGTTGCGAATAATGAAAACCCGAATAAGGAAACCGTGAATAAGAAACTTTTACTGTACATGTATAGCGGTATAGATTGTCTTCTTGCAGTTGGGATCTACAACCAGGAACAATTTAACAGAAATTATTCATATTGGCGTCGGTCGTTAAAAGTATACAGTAGTACCATGGCACATAATACATTCTGGAGCTGTTGTTTTCGTACGTTGCACCAAAACGTTATAATACATCGCCTTCGGTCGGCGTCGTTAATTTAAAGAACAACGTTTTAATAATAATAGCGTCGTCCGTGACTTGCTTTCCTCGAGGGTCGATCGTATCGCACATTTTCCGTTACATTATTACGACATTATTAACTCGGCCTGTCAAAGGTCACAAATGGACTGTGGCAACGACGGTATACTGACTGGGGTGGCAGTGTGGTGGCGGTGCCTGTTGCGATGCTCTCCATGAACGATCCGAATTGATCGAATGAGTGAGATGGAACAAGTGGAGGCGAGTGGCAATCCATAATGCTGGTGGTAAAAATGAGTCCAATTTCGGGAATGATTCGGATTCGGTTTACGTGCTGGTTAAACCTCCGCGACCGTCGTTGCTGACGCTCCTGTTACTCTGTTAAGCACAGTGCTACCAACTACAGATAATAAAGTATCTAGGGTACCTACATGAAAGTAAATACAAAGACTAACGCCATAGGTCAGGGAAAAATGTCTAAATTACGAGCACTATGAGTTTCGATATGATGAAATGCAGTATTGAAGGGGTACTGGTAATGCCGGTGGGGGAGTAATCCTTCCAACTAACAAAGCCGAAGGGAAGGTTCTATTTGAAGTCTTTATTAGGAATCGAGGTGATAAATAAATACTAGTTGAGGAGAGTCAGATGAAGCGGACATGACTGCTCCAGAATTTGCTTAAATGGTCGCGGGAAGCCAAAGAAAACCTTCAAAAAACAAACTTGTGGGTGTTTCTTTACCACCAGCTACTAATGCTGGCGAACGAGTAGTCAAATAGTGCGGAAAATCCTTTTCAACCTCCTTTCAGGAATTATAGGGTAGTGATTGGGTAAGAAAGATGAAGACGAAGTGAAGACAGAAGAGAATGAAAGATAATCTATAGAATATTACTACTCTAAGATTTGCCTGATCCTAGGAGAACATAAAAACTTGGACCAGGACAGACAGACCCAAAATCAAAAAGGTGTTAAGCAATTGTTTAATTCTTTAGGTCATGCCGTCGTGTTGTCGCGTAATCTCATAAAGTAATGGTAGAAGTGGTGAGAGTAAGCGATGGGACTAGTAGGTGGTGGATAAATATGGGATCTTAATTGACCTACTTTGATTTTAGAATTGAGAGAATGGTTTTTCAAATCGAGTTAACCTGATAACTCTATTCAAATTATCCAAATGTTAAAATTGCGATTAAACGCATCACTTACTAGAGCGTATTAAAAATGAAGCATCTGGTTTGTGAAAGGGGGACTCATCCTAATTTACCACATCAGTTGCTTTACCAATTTCTGTTACCAAGGTCATTATACTTACTTGATTTATTTAACCGTGCTAAGCGAATAGAAATGCACCATATGTTTCTCATAGTTTATACATCTACACTTTTTCCTTTCCTGGACTGATCTTCGCTTTTCTCTAAAACTAGAGCATCCCACACCTTTAATTATTTGTGAACAGTAGTCACATCTGGGTCTGCCTCTCCCTAGCCCCTGTTTCTGCTTTTAATATATCTCTAACTACCCCTCATTCCCGAGGAGGTATCCTACCAGCTAGGGTTTGTCGGTTTTTAAAAGCCGGTTTTAAAACCGACTTTTTGGAGAAAATTATGAAATTCGAAAACCGGTTTTTTAGTAGAAAATATCGGTTTTCAATGTATGAATAACACTTAAAAAAATTTGAAAATGACAAATGTAGCCAAATGTACCAGACTGATAAAAACACTGTTGCAAGCGGTTTGGTTCTTGGAATCATCGGTCGTAAGCGGTTTGGTTCTTGGAATCATATCGGACCAATATAAACGGTGTGTTTTGTCTATTGGGTGAATTAATTTAGATTTTATATCAGTTTGATAGTTTTTATTTGAAGTTTAAAGTTTAAAGGAACCGGAAGAAGTGACTGGCTCAAACGCTAAGAAAAGAGTTTTTGGTCCTGGAAGCCACAAATAAAAGGACAAAAAATTTAGAATTATTATATCAGGCTTTAAAAACGATTAAGCCTACTTCGGTCGCAAGTGAGAGGGTATTTTGTATTTCGGGGAATTTTGTGAATAAACTAAGGACACGGCTAAATAGCAAATCGATAGACGTCCTCTGTTTTCTGAAATCATATTTCATTAAACAAAAAAATAAATAGAATATTTAAATTTGTATTAAAATTGCCCGGAATAGAAAATACTTGGTCCTTTGCTTAATTGTCTTTAAAACTAAAAATGATTTTAATAAGTATGTATGCATAAACTTTATTTACTCTTGTCTTTCGGCTTTGATTATAATTTACATTATATAATACACAGTTGTATATTTTCTAATTGTTTTTAATAAGTATCCATCTGTATCTAATAACATTGTTTTTTAAAAAAAAAGTATCTACGGTTATTATAAAAATATGAAAATATATTGTTTTTATTTATTCGAACCCTTTGCTGAATAACTCGTTTCACTATTATAAAAATATTTACATCCTTATATGTGAAAATTATGCATAAACAACGAATTATTGTTTTTAAAGTTATTTAATCCCAGTCAACTATTATTTCTTTGTTCTACTAAATTGCATAAAAAAATGTACTATCAATAAAATTAAACAGTAAATAATTTCAGGCAAAAACTGCTTTTAATCACTCTAAATTTTCTGTTAAAATTTTTTGTTCGAATTATAGAATATTTATAAAAATTCGAAACCGGTTAAAACCGGTTTTCTGGAAAAATTACTATTCAAAAACCGGTTTTCTAAAATGTCGGTTTTTGTATAAACCCTACTACCAGCCTATCGCGGCTATTTCTTATTGACTTTCATGGCGTCCTCTACTCCTACTATTTCTATTACTTCCTCATTTTTAACCTTCTCAATTCACGATATTCTCATCACTTCCCTGTATCACCACATTTCGAACGCTTCTAACCTATTATATTTCCGCCACGCTCACCGTTCACGTTATATAAATAATATAATATAGGTGTCTGTAATAGCTTGCTAATAAATCGAAATTTGATTTGTTAGCACTGTGTATCAAAGTTCTACACTCGACGGCCGTGAGGCGCCGGTCCCGGAATCGTTTTTGCGATATGGACTCGCGATTTCTAACTTTATGCTCCGCTTTGTAATTTTTATGATGACATTTCTCATCACTTTTTCCGTCGGTGCAATAAATTTTGAATACCGTTGGGAAAACAGCTGGAGTCGTAATATCAGTCAGCAAAAATCTCGTTTGCGTCCAAAGCGTTTTTTGTGATCAAGGAATTATTCCCAGGGCCAAGTCAATGGAAGGAGTTGAGACATTAATGTTCCAGTAAGATCGTAGAGATCATTCAACAAACCACCCTCCTGTAATAACTGTTTTGTCTACTATCAGTTGTACATTCAAATAATGAAGTCTATTTTGCTTGAATCGAAGAAAATCCTTTTTTCAATAAATATGCATCAAGGGAGTTATTCTGGTTAATTTTACGTTCCTGGCAAAAAGGCGTCATCCGAACTTTATTATTTCTTTAACTTTTAATTTATCCCACAGGAGTTTTTTCCAAATACTAAACAAAAGTGTTTAATTCTCTTTTAGCAAGTCTCAAAACAGCGAAGACGTGTAATATTTTACCTCCATGTAAAATATGAAAAATTTGTTTAATTTTTTTACACTTCTTAATAACCCTTACAATAAATCTAATTGGTAGTCAAGAGTTCAATTTTCTTCATGTATTTAATTGTTTGTTATGTTTGACAACAATTTACGTTTCATATATAGGATAGATTTGTAACGTTTACATTTAATGTGCGTCTTCTTTTTTCGCGTCCGGTTCAACGTAACCTGGTTGATCTTCGGGTTCGTGAGGCCAAAACGTAGGTTTGTTAATGGGATCAAGTGCCACATCCGGATAGTAATCCCTAAATTCTTCTAAGGTCATTTCTTCAACCGGTGGCATCGCATTTAGAACCTCTAGACGTTTCTTAATCGTTTCTATATTTTCATTAGAAGCTTTCTTCAGTTCTACTATTTCCGCTTTGACTCGTTCTTCTTGTTGGTCGACCAAATGTGAAAAAGTGTCATCTGGATACGGAATATCAAGTTGTTCGTATTGCTTTTTAAAATCTGCCACCATACCAGGAATTTTCACTTGCGTTTCGTAGTTGTCCCATTCGATGGGAGGTTTCTCTTCAGGAAGTTGCAATACTGAGTTTATGTAGTCTTCTGTTTTTGCTTTAAATTTGTTAAATTGAGCGATTTGGTGGGGGGGACACAAAGCAGCTAATCGTTCGAAATCAATCATTTTTAATTTAATTCGTTTTAAAGCCATTTTCTAAAAGAAAACTAAACAAAAATTGATTGTTCACAAAGTGTATAAGTATGTAAATGAAAATGGTAAAAGTTATTTATATCAGTGTAAAGATTGTATAAATTATAAGAAGATTGAGAAAAACTGACAAAGTACAAAGGATGACATAAAATGATACGCCTACTTTGTTTGAATTCGACAAAAATGTGTGCAAAAATATGGTACAACTATCGGGTTGTTCGGAAAGCCATTTCGTTTTTTTTTGTGGAAATGAAAGACAGTTTTCGTATAATAAACAAATACTTTATTAAATTATATATTGACCGTTCTGGTCCAACACCTTTTACCATCTTTTTGGTAGTAGCATAATTCCACGCTCATAAAATTTTTGGTCTTTGCTGGCAAAAAACTGATCGAGGAGGTTTTTGACCTCCTCATTTGAGGTGAAGGTTTTACCGTCTAAAAAATTTTGGAGTGACCGGAACAAATAATAATCCGATGGTGCCAGGTCTGGAGAATATGGTGGGTGTAGTATTTATCCCATTCAAGCTGTAAAAGCTTTTGGCGAGTGACCAAACTTGTGTGAGGTCTCGCGTTGTCTTGGTGAAACACTACACCTTTCCTGTTGATTAGTTCTGACCTTTTCTGTTGAAGTGCATCATTCAGTTTGTCCAGCTGATGACAGTAGACTTCCGAATTAATCGTTGTGTTATCCGGTAAAAGCTAAAAAAAAACGATTCCTTTAAAATCCCACCAAACAGACAGCATCACCTTTTTTGGTGAATATCGGCTTTGGAAATGGTTTGAGCCGGTTCATCTTTTTTGCTCCATGACCTCTTCCGTTTGACGTTGTTGTATACAACCCATTTTCAGCTTCGAGGATAATCCCAGGCCTTTCAAGTGGTCATAAACTGTTGAATTTGATAAATTTAACCTCAATCCGATCTCACGTGTTGTTATTCGCCGGTTCACATCAACTAATGCCTTTATCGCGCCTTTATCAGCTTCAACCGGCCTTCCCGAACGTGGTGCATCTTCGACATCAAAATTGCCGGATCGAAATTTAGCGAACCAGTTCTGGCACTGGCGTACTGTCAACACACCTTCTCCATACACATCAGTCAATTTCTTTCTGGCTTGAACAGCATTTTTACCCTTTCTGTAGTAAAACAGTAAGATATGTCGAAAATGCTGCTTATCGCTCTCCATATTTAAAAGGGCGCCAACCAAAAACTACTGCGTAGAATTAATTGGAATTTTTCACACACAAGCCTTACTATATGAGCTCTCAAAGCATATAAAAATTATACGGCTTAAATGTGAAGTTGGGTGCAAAAGAATACAATTAAATCCTCTGTCGGGAAAAAACGAAATGACTTTCCGAACAACAATAGTTTTACATGAGTACATCAAGAAATGAGGACATGTTTCTTAAAGGCAGTGAATATACAGTTAAATAATTAATTAACCAATTTCATTTTACCGAATAATGCAATAGAATATCCCTGTGTTCGGTTCTCAGTTCTCCATTAGTGTATATGTGACACACTATACAATTTATAATTCATCTTGTAAAAGTAGAAACAACGAATAAGATGGAAAGACGTAACGAACAAAAGTTGTAGTTTTTATTACAACTTCTCTCTACTTCTGAAAACTTTATTTATATTGTCTCAACGACTGTTGTTACATCGACTACCTTACTTTAAGAAAAAATTGTGACGGAACGTGATAAGAAAAACAAATGAGAATTATGGAGGTAATCAACAAGTTTACGTTTCAGACATTGGCACTGCCATGAGACGTGCTTGTACCTACCGCAAAAGATGTCAGGTTCAAAAGAACACAGTTTTTATGTTCTGATGACCTTTTCTATACATGAATTTAGTAAAATTTCAAAGATTTTGTATTGCAGTGTTGCTTATTAGAGATTGTAACGATTTACTTGAATTTCTCTAGAGGTATTCAAAAAGTAGTAAAGGAAATGAAAATGAGTTTCGGTAGAATGAAACTTTGAGAAAATATTCTTTGAATCATGAGTCTCAATGACCACGAGTCCCAAAAATCTCGATTTTTTGACTTATTTTGTGTAATTACTTCTTTTATTTTGTTTCATGGTTAAATTAGTTTTATATCTCAAATGCGTCTTATGTTTCGACTAAACTATATTTAGGTACAAATATTTTTCCGAATTTGCCGATCAGCCTAATAAATGAAGATTTATGGCATGTACCCAACCATTGCAAATTTTACTATTGTACAGGTCTGACGAAGGAAGCTGACGAGCGGTCGTGCATGTACTTGCCCATTTATGACCTACGAGGGTGGATTGATAAGTTTCCGGCCTAACCAAGAGATGACGCCACTAGGCCTACCTTGAGGTGACATTCTATAGTACCATCCTTGGATAGCTTGTAGCTATAGTTTCAGCCCGATCTCCTTGCTAGTGTAGGTTTGACAGCACG